CCACTAAAAATACAAAAATTAGCTGGGCATGGTGGCACACACCTGTATTCCCAGCTACGCAGGAGGCTGAGGCAGGAGAATTGCTTGAACCAGGAGGCAGAGGATTCAGTGAGCCAAGATGGTGCTACTGCACTCTCCAGCCTGGCGGCAGAGTGAGACTCCATCTCCGGGAAAAAAAAAAAAAAAAAAAAAAAAAAAGAAGGTCAGCAGACTTGATTAAACCCTGTGCTTTGCCTTTAGTTTTTTGAAATTTCAAAGGAGGCATTCTCTCTGTCAATAAACTTTCAAATTTTGTAAATAATAGTAATCCTGATCCCAGCTAGCAGTTACTGAATTTTGTGTGCCAAGCACTGTTCTAAACATGTTTGAAGTAGTAACTCAATTCTTCACAACCAGCCTTTCAAGGAGGTACTATTATTAACATCATTTTTCTAGTGAGGAACCTGAGGCTTAGATTAAGAAACCTGTGTGTTGCCATATAGCTAGTAGCTGGCTGAGCCGTGACGTGAACTTAGCTGTGCTTCATAACCACCACACCGTGATACCTCAAAGGTAAATGTGTGTGTGCTGGTTATGGGAGAGGAGATCCACATTTACTTATTTATTTCTATAGGCCTTGCATGGCGTTTTTGATAATTCTATTTCTACTATTTCATATTGGAACATTTCTACTATAATTATTACCCATATTTGACATATGGGAAATCTAGTCTTAGAAACAGTGAAGCTTATAACCAAGATTTTACAGCTAATGATAATGATGGAGCCGAGATTTGAGCCTGACAACCCAAACTCAAGTCCTGGCTAGGGATTTCATTAAGGAAAGGAAAATTTTCTCTGACCAAGGTCATTTTTATGATGTGTAACTGATTTAAGCTTTCTGTATACCACCTAACCCCTTACAAAGATTTGTGTTTTCATTTTTAATTAAGTCTGTTCTGTATTGGAATTATCTTCTCTGTTTTTCATTCTTTGGTCTTTCTTCAAATTGTCACTGATATACACTGGTTCTTCATCCTATTAGTGGTTTGTGGTTGATTAGTTCATCTTCTGTAGTTAGCATCATTCTTTTTTTTGTTTGTCATTCCTGAAAATTAATTTTGCTTTGAGTTTGGGACCCCTAACATGATGTCCTTTAGCCCTCTGAAGAATGAATGTCCCTGTGGTGCCATTAGCCACTTGCAGTGTCCTGAGAATATTTTAAGAGAAATAGAAATGGCAATACCACTTGGATACCAATTAAAAGTAAATGTTTTTGTTTTTAGTTTTTTTTAGTGAAATACCTCTTTAAAACTGCCAAGACACAGAGGGTTGGTTCTATTGGTTTCCTTTATCATCAGTGACACCATCTACAATTTTCGGTTGCAATAACAAAGGATTTTTATGGAAAGCAGTTTTTGTTCCTGTTCCTTTGCCAGTTTTCACATTGTTATATATTATTAAAGACACAGAATGGACTTGTAATAGGTCCTACAGACTGGGCACAGTGGCTCATGACTATAATCCCAGTACTTTGATAGGCCGAGGCGGGTGGATCCCATGAGGTCAGAAGTTCGAGACCAGCCTGGCCAACATGGCGAATCCCTGTCTCTAATAAAAATACAAAAATTAGCCAGGCTTGGTGGCAGGTGCCTATAGTCCCAGCTACTGGGGAGGCTGAGGCATGAGAATCACCTAAACCCAGGAAGTGGAGATTGCAGTGAGCTGAGATGATGCTGCACACTCCAACCTGTATGACAGAGCGAGACTCTGTCTAAAAAAAGAAAAAGAAAATGGGTCCTAGTGAATCTCTGTTGTTATATGACAGAGTCTTACGGATCTCTTTTGGAATTCCCAGCAGCAAGTGGGCAGCTTCTTAACAGCCCACTGTGACTCATGAGGAAGTATGTCTTCATATTGTTTATGACTGTGTTTTTGTGGGTAGGCCTTCCCGCTGTCTCACACTCCTGGTTTGCGTTCTCTTCTGTTTGCTCTGGCCCCACCTTTGGCTCAGCTGGGCACCATGGGCTTTAGCAGATTGGAATGCAAGCACATCACACCAGCTCTCCATCTTTCTGTGGCATTTTATGGCTCAGAGAGGATTGGAACTAAACCTTGGGTGGCTTACGCTAGGTTGTACCCAGCCAAGTCTGGAGAAGTGGAGAAAATACATGAGTCTGTGAGTCTACATGTCCTTCACATTCTTACAGACACATCTTTTGAGTCTAGAGAAATGTAAATCTATTCCTTTTTGTTTTTAGTGGTTAATTTTTCAGGCCCTGAAGAATGAGTTTGGTTACCCCTACAGCAGGGAGGCTTCTTCAGAAACAGCTGTGATTATCCAGAGGTGTTGCATTGTGCTTTTGTTTTCATGCATTTTTAGCACCTGCACATCATAGTTTTCCTGGGCACCTCCATCAGTGTTACCTGCTAACTTGGCAGACTGGAGAGACTCTTAAACCCATGTCTGACTTCTATATCCATGTGAATTAGTTTTATCACATGACGATTTGGCAGATATTTTCTGCAAATCTCTAGCTCTGGTAAAGAGTGATGAACTGGGCCCATATATTCAACTTGTAAAGAGTGATTTCCCCAGAAACAGGAGGCAGAAGTTTAGCAAGATAAGGGCTCCTTCACGTGAAACTTGATCTCTAAGCCTAGTACAAATTTTCTGATATAGAAGGAATTATAGGAGTCTGATGCTAACCCTTACTAGCTTGCCACCAGGCTTGGTATAACCTTCATTGCAAATGCTAGGATGCATGCTTTGGTTGTACATGAAGGGGATTATTTCTGGGTGGTATTTTATCTGCTACTCTCAGACTCTTTCAGATCTAGCTGGATGTTCAACATAAGCCTTTTGTATAATTCCCATGGGCTGTAACTCTGTGGCTTGGGTAGTGGTCACAGGAGCTCTAACGGCAGAATAAATGATGCTGCTAACAGAAAAAAGTAGGACTGATTTCTCTGCAAAATTCTGCACAAAGGAGACTTTCTTTGCTTCTCCTGGTACATGTGGTAAGCGTAGAAATAGTTTATTGTGAAAGTCTTTGAGCCACAGGTCTTTCCAAGGCAAAATTGTATCCTCCAGGGCAACTAAAATAAATACCAGCCTAATAAACTTCAGATTCTAAAAAGTAAGTTGTCCTATTGCATTTCTGTAAGAAGAAAAATATGAAAGGTTGATGTGTGTTTTTATTCCACTTTGATTTACTTCCCAAGCTGTCCTGTCCCAATTCAATCTTAAAATGGAAGAAAATACTTTATCATTTGAAGAAGGATAAATGTAGTACAGAATTCAATTTTTAAGAAGTGAAGGTGCGGGAAGTATATTTTGATGCCAACTTTCAAGTTTTTAAAGAATAAAACAAAATAAACACATACACACACAGTTGAGTTTGTCTTGGAAGTTAATGATAGATGTCTTCTTGGTATCCTTTGCAAAGGAAGTCTTCCATCCAGGCTTCCCCTCATTTGTTGTTAATTAGTCATGGTCCACCTGGCCTTCTCACTAGCACTAGTTCCCTGTGCCTTTTTCTTTGCTCTTAGGCCAGCCCTTTGGTCCCTCCCTCTTCATTTCTGGTTCTCTCACTGTTCCTGGGCTTCTCTTGTCTCCCTACCCAGTCCGGATCAGGTACATGAACTACAACCTACATTGTGCCATCCCTGCAGCTGCACAAGCCTGTCACTTTCCAGACTGGGATATTTTAGAATCTGACTTCTTTCCTTTTTGCTGCCCTTTCTCAGTCTACTTTAGTGGTTATTATCTTGTCATCAGTCACTTTAAATATGGCTAGCCTCCCCAGATTCCTCTATTGACTATTGTGTTTGGTTTGTTTTTAAAAATTTATTATTAAATAAAGCTAGGAAATGTAATATAATGGGCTTCTATATACCCACCACCTAGCTTGAAAAGCAATTCCAAATTTGCTATTGATGTTACAAATGGCTTTATATATTTTTCACATATGCAAATCAAATAATACATAGTTGCTTATATTTTGGAAAATTGTATCTTATTCTATATGTGCTTTTTAAACTTTTTAAATGGAAGATGATGCTTGTAAGATTAATTCAGGTTGCTATGTTTTGCTCTTCCACTACTGCATAGTATTCAATAGTATTCTGTTTTAAGCCTATGCTACCATTTATTTATTCTGTTTATGAGCATTCAGATGGTTTTCATTTTTGTTATTACGAACAGTGTTCCTATGAACATGCTTGTACAGATCTCTTTGCACGTCTATTTATTATTTCAGCAAATTATATTGAGCACCTATTAGTGCTTGGCACGACTGATAGAAAATTGCTGAAACAAGTCGTATCTTGAAGCTGTACGCTTTAGAGAGGACACACAGGCAAATTCTGTTGTAGGAGTCTTCTCGCCTACCTTCTTATTTTAATTTCACTTCTTCTCTGTCATATTTCACAGTTCTGCTAGAGTTAACTTTTTTTTTTTTTGAGATGGAGTTTTGCTCTTGTTGCCCAAGCTGGAGTGCAACGGCACCATCTTGGCTCTCTGCAACCTCTGCCCCCTGGTCTCAGGGATTCCGTGCCTCAACCTCCCAAGTAGCTGAGATTACAGGCACCCACAACCACACCCAGCTAATTTTTGTATTTTTAGTAGAAACAGGGTTTCACCATGTTGGCCAGACTGGTCTCAAACTCCTGACCTCAGGTGACCCACCCACCTTGGCCTCCCAAAGTGCTGGAATTACAGGCTTGAGCCACTGCGCCCGGCTGAGTTAACTTCTTAAACATAGTTTTAATAATTACTGTTATGCTCAGAAACATTCAGTGGCTCCCTGTTGCTGTGTGATAAAGTTAATGCTCCTAGCTTAACCTTTTCTCCTGTGTATGTCTCACCCATACACCCTTCTGATGCCAGTGTCACTTCCCCTTTCAGCCCTCTCAGTGATGTTTTTTTACCCTTAGCTATCTTGCCTGTTTTGAACATTATCCAGGATGTTTCACTCAGTTTTCAAAATTCAAATGAAATACTTCCTTGCTCATCTTACAACCCTTATCTAATTGTATATTGCAGATAGTGGGGTATTGTATTTGTTTAGCTGACTAGGAGCAGGAACCATATGGTAATTTCCTCCAACATAGTAGGACCTCATTAATTAAAATAGTAATTCATAATCAAATTGAACTGAATGGATCATTTAGTTCTCAGCTTTGCTGTTAAAACTCTTTAATGGTCCTAATGGGAGGAGTAAGTAGAAATAGAGTGAATGTTTTAATTTTCTGTTGCTTTGCACATGTTTTTGGCTCTCAGTAAGTGCTTGTAGCTTACTAACTGAGCAGCCGTTCTAAGCAGAACCTTACCACATCAAAGTGGGATAGGTTGAGAAGAAAACTGACCTTAGTAAGAGAGATAGATTCTTCATTAAAAAAAAAACAGACCATATTCTCACCTCAGTGGGATTGAACTAACACATACTTAACCAGCTTTCGTTCTCATCTCTTGGTCACCTCTTTTCTGCCTTTGGGGTGGCAGTACAGGTTGATGACCTGTCACCAATTATGCCCTTCTACTTATCTCCAGTCCCTAGGGTAGAAGGCAGATGCGGCTGCTTGTGAATAAGGGGAAGCCCGAGTCTACTGTGTCCATGTTTCCATTTTGAAGGAAAATGGGAAAAATGAGGCCAGTGGTTTGATAAATTATATCAAAAATAGTCCCTTCATGCTAATGGAGTGTGAAGAAGCTGATGTACTGGAGATGATCTATAATATTTCATATTTCTCTGAGGAGAAAAATGATAAACTTGATGATGTGTGATTTATTCATGTTTCTTCAGATGAGGAAAAAAATCCTCGTCAGCTGCCTGTTTCTCACTTCTAGAAGCTGGCATGTGGATTTTACACTGGGATTGGAGGCTGGGCTTGTTTAGAGAAATGCCTAGAGAGACTTTGATTAATCACCAGACCTTTGGCAGTTGGTTGGGATAGGGTAATTACGCTAGCATTGCCGCTCTTTTATCATCGCTATTTTATGGCTCTACACCACCAGGTGACAAATGTGTTAATTATTGCATTTCTTATCCTGGACCTCTCTTGGCTGCACCCTCCCCTCATGGTTCTGGCCCTTAGCCCTTCCCTGCAGCTCAGTCCCGGACAGCAGTAACTTGTGCAATCAAAGAGCTGTTCTTTGGGAGCCATGCTGAGAGGGACAGGGCTATCAACCCTGCTGTGTGCAGACGCTAACCACGGGGGAGCTGGTTAATTCCCTTTCCTCTTCCTTCTGCCCATCACCCTTTGGGTCAAGTGCTGCTCAGAGCCAGAAGCTCCACTGGCTTCTTTAATAACTGAAAATGGCACCCCTGGACTGGGCCATTTCACTCTAAATAGCCCCCTGGAGGAGGTTAGAAACAGAGGTTGTCTTAGGCAAAGAGATTTAGGAGGGAAAACTGTCCTTTTTCTTTCTTCTTTCTTTTCTTTTCTTTCTTTTGTTGTTGTTGCCCCCTCTTCTCTGTTACCCAAAGAAACCTTCACAAGCATGCCTATAATTTAGTTGCAACATTTTATCATAGCTGAAAGAATTGAATGTAAAGAAGGAAGTTTAATAGAACATATAACTCAGTAGCTTTATCGATGGGGAGGTATTTATTGTAGTTCAGCTAGTGAAGGTGGGTCATAGAGGAAATTTTAGGTAAGTCAGGTTTTCTTTAGGAAGAGGCCCAAGAGTTAGTACCTCAGGATTTTGTTTTCTTGTGTTCCTTGGGCGTGCTGGAAATTGGTTAGCTCTTAAATCAACAACTTGTCATTGACAGTCATCTTTTTGCTACAGAATATATTAAAATAATATAATTAAGGTGCCTGACCTCAAAAAAAAAAAAAAAAAACAGTTGGTTATATAACTGTAAAAAGATGAGTAGCTACAGAGTGTAGAGTCACAGAAAAGAGCAAAGGCCATTGTTGGAAAGCAGAGCCTGTGCTGGCTAACATTCCCTGAGAGTTTCATCCCCCAGGAATGAGAATTTCTTCTTCTGACCCCTCCATCTACTCGGGAACTGATGTGGCACATCTTTTGCCCGATGGGTAAATATTTGTTTATTGTGAGCCCCTTTCACTAGAATGCAAGAACATGACTAGTTATGTTCTTGCTTGTAATCCTTGTTTTTAGAACAAGACCTGACAACTCAATTATGGTCAGTATATGTCTTTTTTGGATGTATGAATGAATAAATGAAACAAGATCTTAACACATAACTCTCTTCTTTTAGACTAGACAGGGTTTTGACTATATCTGAAATTTTTATGCTTCTTCAGCTCTCTCTTTTTTTGAGTCCTAAGGATGTCTTAAACTAAATAAGAAATTCCCTCTTATTGATCTAGTGGTTATGACAAGAGACATCAGCCTTCTTTGGCGTTTGGAAGTTAGAAGTGTGAACCTGAGGAAACTAAGCCCTGGGAAGGTTCTTTATTTACAGTACAAAATTTCTTTTTCTGTGCTTGAGCTAGATACAGATATTTTTCAGTATTTTCTGTCTTAAAAGGCTATATTTTAGCTTAATATGTACATATAGCATAACTATTCGTGCTAATTATAATTCATATGTGAAAGTGAGACAAATTTTTCAGCCACCAAATATGACTATTGGAAGCTTTTGAAATACCGTTTAATACTTTGCAATATAGTTATTTATTCACATCTGCTTTCGCGTTTAAACTTCCTGAAGTAATGTTTTATTTATTTTTGTATCTCCATTGCTGAGCAAACGGTGGCACACAGTAGGCCCTTCATGAACTGATATTCACTAGTGCACTGTGGGAATTTATTTGCAACACCTTTGGTGTCATTCTATCCATTGGGAATAGCAAATAATTTGAACTGTCAAAACCAGTGCTGTTGCTTTGGGCCCAGATGACATTAAACTTTTTTTAATTTTTTAAGAAATGGGAATCTTCCTATGTTTCGTTGGTGGTCTTGAACCGCAGGCCTCAAGTGATCCTCCCACCTTGGCCTCCCAAACTGCTGGGATTACAGGTGTAAGGCACTGCACCCAGCCCCAACATTAAACTGTTTTTTTTTTCTGACAGTAATTAAGAATAGGATCAATGCCTCTTTGAGGCCTTTTCCAGTTTGTGAGGCCACTTGTGATTGGCCTTTTCCAGTTTGTTAGGCTATTTGTGATTGCAGGAGGACATGCATCACATTCATTTAAAGGTTGAATACATTATTTAATTATGGCTTGCAAAGAAAGAAGAGCTAAAGTGTGGTCATATTTTATGCTACTTAGGATTGAAAATCAGTCAGTCATGAAGCCATTTCTTTTCATTCTACTTTTGGAGATCATACTGTGATAAGCTTTTCAGAATTATTTAGCACTTAGAGCAATTTTATAAGGTGGGCACTTTGTCTATCCCTGTTTTTTAGATAAGGAAACTGAGGCAGCAGAGGTTAAAGAAAATTGCCCAAAGTTAGATGGCTAAGTAGTAGAATCGGGATTCAAACGAAGGTATTCTGGCTCTGTAATCTGTGCTTCTCTATGCACTGCCTTTGCAAATCTAATTTCAGCTTGAAATGAGGTCAGTGGATTGGTAGTAGATTCGTAGGGGAGCCATTCCAAAGAGTTTTTTTTATAATTATGTGAACTTGAGAATATACCTGGTAACAGTGGAGAGATTCCCACTCTATTTCATCTGTAACTTTTCTTACTGTGGTAGTCACATTTGTTGTAAGAATATTTATGGTGATGTTTAGGATAAGTTTAAGGAAACGTCAATCATTTTTTGCCTGATCTAAGATATAGATATTTATATACTTACATAAATAGGTAATTAATAGGTATATATATATGTAAATATGTAAGATTATATACGTTTTGATTACCTGTTAAATTATTTATGCTGGCCTCTGGCTATTTACATGACTTTTTTTCTGTAAGTCTTGCCTTTCAGGTACATATAAACTAGATTATTCTTAAATATTCATTTGGCAGAGTCTTCTCCTCTTTAGTTAAGAGGCTGTCTTGTGAAAAATTAGACCCCAGTAAAGCAGTCATTCCTGCCCCAATTTTCCATGAGGGAAGATTTGTCACAGCTACTACTACTTTTGGCTTCAGTTATAATCACCTGAACTTATTATTCAAATTAATGGCTCCTTGGTGTAATTTTCAGAGGTCTCTTCTGATGATCTCAGACAACTATGAATCGGTATGTGTAGTATTATAAAGGAAGAATACAGATTGTCAGGCATACTCAACTAGTCTTGTTTTGGAATCACAGAAGGTAAGGGAAGTTGTTAGTGCTTGTGGCAGGCAGCTGGAAGACATCTTTGTAGTATTTATGAAGATCAGCCCTGTTGGGCAATCATTGCTTCTGCCAGAATGACTTTTCCATTTATCTGGTAAAGAGAAAGATCTAAATCCTTGAACATGTAATAATTCACTTGATAAAATTCAGGTCTTTTATAAACAAATCATATTAAAATCCCAAAAGTTAATTAATAGGTGATAAGCATTGCTTTTACTTCCTTGTCCTGTCACATTCATTCATAGTCATAATTCACTGACAATTATTCAGTGCCTTTGATGTGCCAGAAGCACATCACTTGCGAAGTGCTTCTGTATAGAAAGGGATGTTTGTTAGTTGGGATGGTGCCGCTCAAATAATGAAACATATATACTTTTGTTTTATTATTCCACAGCTGTTCCTTGAGTAAGATCCTGACTTGAAAGGCCAAGCTCTTCTAGAGGGGCAGATCTTTGAGGAGGAAGAGGCGGAAAGCTAGGAAGGGCGAGGAGGCTACAGAGGTCTGTAGCTAAAATGGTCTGAGATTAGGAAAAGTGGCTAAAGGCAAGTGAGATTTTCTCTCGTGTGTGAATAATTGTAGGAATAGATTCTGGACAACATAAACAGAGGAACAAATGGAGGGATGATCTTTAGTTAGTGGAAGTGGAAATTCATTGGATCGTCCAGGAGTTCATCTGAAATCAGCAGCCCATCAGGTGGAAGTTTGAAAAAAAGAACTGTCATGTTTGGTGAATATATCATGATTATGGAGAATGATGAGGGCAGAATCCCGCATCCTTTTTAGCTTTCTTGAGAACTTTGTATGAGATTCACTGTCACCATCATATAAATAGTGGTGTGCCCTTCTGTTAGAGAATTCCACCATTTGCTAGCCAGTGGACATAAATGGGCATCTTGTTTCTTTATTATATGTCTATTTATATGTCTGAAAGTCTAGATATGTATTTGTCTTTAGGAAAGGAAAGGTACCAACAGGAAGTTTTGAGGAATTACGCCAAAAACAGCCAGAATTGCTCTGCACTAGTGATAAACCTGATGAAAAGACAGACCATCAGTTATGTGTTCCAGAAATGATGTCAGTGTTGCAAGAGGAGAACTGACAGCATAGACTCAGCCCTCATTTCTCAGAAGAATGTGCCTCTAAATGACCTACCAATTACAAGCAGATGATAATGAAGCAAAATGATGCAAATCAAGATCTGAAGAGCAACATCCTATGGCCAAGACTTGATAAACAGGGAATTGGAGAAAGAAGATAGGAAACACCAGAGGAGGACAGCAGACCGTAGTTTTGTGCCGTGTATGAGCCAAACTCCCTACTGTGGCATTGAATCTTGGCCAGGCAATAGTTTGATTGCTGATTTCCTTAGAAGGGAAGGATTCTTGTGTAAGATTAAAGTAAGAGTAATTACATGACAATTTGTTACTGAGGAAGACAGCCAAATACGTATTTCAGAAGTAAGGAACAGTCATTTTGGTGGAATTTGGTGTGTTATATAAAGCTTGGTGTTAGATTAATGCCCAGGTGACCATTTGGAGGATAATCAGTATAGCTCTGTGAGAGAGATAAAGTATTGCCTGGCTAAGTCTCAGTTTCTTTGTCTGTAAAATGTGTGTTTAAGTGGAGCTGGGAGACAGTAAGTGAGAGAATATATGTAAGGTGCCGGCACTTAACAGTTGTTCAGTTTCTCTCTCTTGAGTATCCTCAGAGCTCTTTTTATTCATTTCTTTGCTGTTGAAGGAAAGAGAAGAAATTTTGACTGAGCTATGAGCTTCATTTTTTGAAGGTGCTGATTCTCACCCCCCATTCCCAGCTACATTGACTGTATCCTTAGCCATTTGTTACCCATCTAGTGAAGCCATCTTTTATAGTGCAGTGTGTTAGTAGGAGGGGCTTATTTGGCCTTGAAGGGATTATTTGGCCTCAATCCGGTACTGATTGTGGTTTGAGGTTGAGCATATTAAGGATGAATAATAGCTGGAATGGTCCATGATGTGTGCTTAATATCCTTCAGAATGTTTACACAGTAACATTTAGATTGCTTCTGAGCACAAGAGAATACAGAACAAAATGTTATGTTCCAAATAAATATCACAATATGAAGAAATATCGCTCTTCTAGCTTGGCATCCTTTTTCTGCTATCTTTCCCTTTTGCATTTTCTTCCCATACCTTAGCTTTAGCCAAGGATACAGTAGTAAGTGTTGCTTGGTATTTAATCAAATTAAAACCTATGCTAGGTAATGCCTCGTGGATTTTATTTTGGCAAGGTTCATGTTTGAATGGAACAAGAAATAGTGTATATTAAGGACTAAAGAGGGTACTCTTGTTTTCTTTCAAATATGATAATTAGTATAAAACTATCTTTTTCCTGCCAGTTGGCTCATCTCATCTCCTAGCAGCTGTTTTAAATTCCTTAATTGTCTATTGCTTACTCAGCTATCATTTCACAAATTTCCTCACTGCTGCATTTTTGTTGAAGTAAATTCTGACAGTGGGGATGCTCACCTCACAGGCTGGGTTGAGCTGAGTTCTAGTTATCCTGAGTAACTGGATTAGGTATCATTAGACAGTGCATTAGGGTGAGGTGATGGTTCCCTAGGCCTCACTGGAGTTGATTACTGTAGAAATGGGCATCTGGTGGAGTCTCAGGTTGCCAACTGCATTACTCTTCATTTTACTGATGTTAAAATTCTGTTTAACCCAATGTAGACTTTTTGTGTGTGCTTAAAAAGGAATAGGAGGTTTTTTTTTTAGAGGATTTGCAGTATATACTATTATATAATCTCATTGCTTATAATTTTTTTCAGAATGAAAGAAGTGGGTATTTCAAATATAGTGTTTTCTTTCCAGTATCATTAACCATTTAAATACACTTTGTTAAATCTATCACATTTTTTGTTAAAATAATGTAAAATTTTAGTAGAAATTTTCAATCTTACTGTAAAAATACTGTAGTTAATAGTCCCTGAGATAAGACAGTGTGCTGTTTTCAGAAGCATCAACACAGTATGTTCTTCAAGCATTTGGTTTAAGTGTATTATTGAAGGCTTACTAAATTCAGTTTCAGATATTGTGCTCTTTGATAGCACAATGACATGTCGCCTTACAGATGATGCTTGCAAATGTGATCCACTTATTTCTTAATGATGGGAAAATTAGTAATATAAGACCAAGTTTTTGTTTATACATGAGATTGTCAACTTTCATATCTTATTTCATAGTCATACATTGCAGGAATATATATACTGCATAAAGTGACTTGCTTTGTCATTTTTAAAGTTCATAATACAGTCAGAAGATGATTAACATAGTCGTTCAAATTTTTATGCTACCATATGTTCTTGTCCTCTTGTGAATAAATGCAACAGATCATTTCTAACCATTTTAATTGCTCTAATTTTACATGGACAATATTTTTGTGTAAGAAAAGACAAAAGAAGGCCATGCATAGTGGCTCACACCTATAATCCTAGCACTTTGGGAGGCTGAGGTGGGTGGATCACTTGAGGTCAGGAGTTCAAACTGCCTGGCCAACATGGTGAAAACCCATCTCTACTAAAAACACAAAAAAATTAACTGGACATGGTGGTGGGAACCTATAATCCCAGCTACTTAGGAGGCTGAGACAGGAGAAAAAAAAACCCAAAAAGAAAAAAGACAAAGAAGTGGTCACTAGGTTTAAATGCCTAAATTTGAAACCGAATTCCTTGCTTTAACTGTGTAGTTTTAGGCAAATCACTTAACTTCACTGAATCTCTGTTATTCTCACTATGAAAACGGGACCAGTAATACTTTCCTTAAAGTGATCTTGAGAAGATTAACTGAACTAATGGTGAAAGTACCCTATCACACAATTTAAATGTAATGGTGAAAGTACCCTATCACACAGTTTATCGTAGGTGCTAAAAATGCCATGTACCTTCCTTTCCTTCCCTTAGAAAAACGGTCTCTTTTATTCATGGATTGTACTTTTGCCATCAAAGGGGGAAAAATCCCTATTTCTTACAAAACTTCCTAGGAAATTCATGAATTTAGTGTGGGCGCGTTAATTCTGACAAATAGAATATTGATTTTGAGTTTGTTGCCATAAATTTGCCAAATGAAACCAAAGTTTTATGGTATTCCTGTCAAGTCGCTTCTGCTATCGGGAACAAACAAGTCTGTATTTAATAGTAAGTAGTTTGCTAATTGCAAAGCACTACAAACTGAATGCAGATGTGGGACGGGAGAAGCTGAGAGGGGGCCAGAGCATGAAATAAGTAAGTAGGCTAAGAACTGCCACACACACCACCATGCTTGCAGAGATGAATGTGAGACTGTCCAAGGCTGCAGTGCTGGTCACCTTAGCCTATGTAAACTCTTACTTTCTCAGTTATCAGTGGAAGATGGGTTAATCTTTATTAGTCTGCGTACACCACATTGCAATGATCTGAAAGCTAAAGACATGGTATAAAGGAAGTCTGAAGATACCAACTGCACTGAGACTGCTGATGCTTCGAATGGAATTTGGGCAGATGGAATGCTCATTTAGGGAGCAAATGACAGGGAGGAGGGGAGTCAAGGTGATAAAGGGAGCCTCCTTGCATTTGTTGTCATCTTCTATGTGAGTTCTGGCCCCACGGGCAAAAAGCAAGCAAGACTAGAACCCTAGAAAAACAACCATGAGGTAGATACTACTTACAGTCAATCAGAGAAAGCCAGCAGGTACAAAGAGAGAAGAAAGCCAAATGGTAAAAATGTAATCAACCAGTGGAAATCTTTTAGTTCATAGTTGTAATCATAGGTGGCATTCCATTACCTTTGTCTTCCATCTGGACTAAGTCTGGCTGTATCTAGAGTTTCTGTTGTACCAATTCTGTGGTCCTTAAACTCTGATGGCAGCCTGTTTTGACAGGGCCAAAAACCTACACAACCCTGAACCTTTCTTGGTAGTGGCATTATCTAAAAATATGTGTTTGCACCTTATCAGGCTTAATGAGGGAAAGGAAATTGCTTTTGAAGACACTAATGGGAAATTATTATAAGTCAATGAAGTAAAAATGCAGATAGATTTGTATCTTAAACATGAATACTGCTAGAAGCTAACACGGAGTGAGGGTTTGCTGTGTGCCAAGCACGTGCTATTTTGCATTAAAAGGGACCCCTGCCTTCTAGATAGTATCCTCATTTTACAGGTAGAAATCTTGAGGTTTAGAGAACTAAAGTAACTCACCTAAAGTTACATAGCTCATGAGCAGTGAGTGTAACAGAGGTTTAAGGACACAGCATCTGATTTCAGAGCCTAAATGAAGAGCCTTTTACAAGAATGATTGATTTTTAGAGCACGAAGACAAAGATGCCCAGCATTAAGGAAAATATTGTAAAGAAATGTTAATCCCTGTAGAGGGCACTATTCAGATTTAACTCATCCAACATAATTTTCTAACATGATAAAGCAGACCTGCGCCAGCTACTGACTGTTTCAGATAGGTTTGCCTCTGGGGAAGAAAGTGCAGTGATTCGTGTAACCTACTGTCAGGGTTATTTAAATCTCAGACCTAACCTAGAATTTACTTTAATAATCTTTTATTATTTCCCTGTATATTATGATTTTTCCCTTCTCAATGAATAATGAATTCAGCATAATAGATTCAGTTAGTTCTAGGCTTCTTCATACCTTTATTTAATATTCAAAGCACTTTCTTCTCTTTTGTTCCTGATTTACCAAAATCTGTGAAAGCGCTATGAAAAGATGATAAAGGAGACCATCTGTTGGACCTGGAAAGTGCTGGGCGTTAGTTTATAACTTGGGCAAATGTAAGCATAATAGTTTGACCAGGGTTGGATGTGGTGACTCACGCCTGTAATTCTAGAACTTTGGGAGGCCAAGGTAGGTGGATCTCTTTAGGTCAGGAGTTTGAGACCAGACTGGCCAACATGGTGAAACGACATCTCTACTAAAAATACAAAAATTGGGGGGAATGATTGGCAGATACCTGTAATTCCAGCTACTCAGGTGGCTGAGGCAAGAGAATCACTTGAACCTGGGAGACAGAGGTTTCTGTGAACTGAGATCATGCCACTGTACTCTAACCTGGGTGACAGGGCGAGAACATGTCTCAAAAAACGAAAAAAAAGTTTGACCAGAGGATCACCTCTGTTGTCTTTCTTTCCTGTAATCCAGTTTAGACACCTTCCAGACTAACCATGACTTACATGCTTGTCCAGGAGTATTGGCCAGAGTTAGGGTGGTCACATTAGTTCTACCAAGGGAGACGAAGGAGTAGAGCGTGTTTCCTTGAAGGACTGTGATGATGCTTTTTAGAGCTTATTACATGTTTGCTATTTCTCCCTTCCCAAGCAGTCAGGGGTTTTTAACTTTGAAGATAATAATAACTGTCTTCAGTGGGTGAATTTACGTCTGTTTTGACCCAAAAGATAATTTAGGATGACTTATGGAATCAGAAGCTAAATATCAAATGTAATTAAATGTTACTGTTGTGTCTTGCCTTAAGAAGAAAGCTGGTGAGTTCTAGCAGGGCTTGAGAGCTATGTGGATTAACTATTTTGATTCTTTCCCACATTATATAAGAGATATTATCTCAGGCAGCATGAAATTATCCCTGGGGGACAGGGAGGAATCACATTTCAGAAATACCTGTAGCATTTCTTCAGCATGTCTTTGGGCCTGGGTTTTGTAATATTTCTATTTTTTCTTGAAATCTCCACTTGGCTATGGCTCTGGAAGATGGCAGAAATGCCATCTTAAAATGTACATAACCTTTTTAAGAAATTAGTTTTGAAAAAGTCTCTTTTCCTGATGGTCCTTCCCCAGTATGCTTAAATTACTGAATAGGAAATCTTCAGTAAGACACAGCTATTAACATAAGTGCTAAGGATTAAGACAAAGATCTATCACAAATTTTGTATCTCTGTAGGAAGGTAAAGTTGTATTTTTGATATAACACCTATCCCTGGAAATCATATTCTTTTACCAGATATAAACTGAAATCAGAATAGGGGGTGAGCTGTTAATATGAATACCAAATCTGGACAGGCACAGTGGCTCACACCTGTAATCCCAGCACTTTGGGAGGCTGAGGTGGGTGTATCACTTGAGGTCAGGAGTTCGAGACCAGCCTGGCCAATATGGTGAAACCCTGCCTCTACTAAAAATACAAAAACAAATTAGCCCGGCATTATGTCTTGTACCAGTAGTCTTAGCTGCTTGGGAGGCTGAGGCACAAAAATCGCTTGAACTTGGGAGGCAGAGGTTACAGTGACTTGAGATTGTGCCACTATACTACAGCCTAGACGACACAGTGAGAGAATCTGTCTCAAAGAACAAAACAAAACAAAAAGAATTCTGAATCTACTCTGAATAGTGGAAGACAATAGGAGACGTTTAAATCTTTATCTTTGACTGGTAGCAACATATTCCAAAGGCTTTCGAGTTTAAAGAAATCATCATTTTCTTAGCACTTCATTGCTTTCTTTCTCAATCCTAAAATACTCTCTGGACACTCAACTTCAGAATTCTTTCAAGGAAAAAAAAACTTGATTTGTCTGCCTGTTAACTACTACAGAGTGTGTAGATTCCTGCTGTTCCACGTTACTACTCAGAATAATAACAAAACACCTATTGTTGTCATTGTCTGGAGAAAAGAAGCTCCTCTATTGGATTGAATGACATTGCTGTGCCCATATGAAAGGCAGGTATTAGGCAGTAATGAAGGTATGGCAACAGGAATTTATACTCTGTCTCTTTCATCAGAGCAGCTTCCCCCTCCCTTTTTTATTCTGTAGGAGGAAGATGTGGAGTGAGAGAAGAGCTCTGATCTGTTTGGGGAAAAAGTATCACAGCCTATTAGTTACAAGCAATGAAATTGAGACAGCTTCGGGACTCCATTAAGTGTGTGGTGTTTAGGCAGACTGTGTCCCTAGGTAAAGTGTGCTGTTGAAGAGGATAGTACACAATGAAGTAATTGGGCTTGGGAAATCAACTGGGCTTCAGCAGCCTCATATCTCCTTATGGGGAATAGGAGAGGGAGCTACAGCTTTTCCTCCCTTCTTTTAGCATAAAAGCTATACTGAATAAAATAGAAGGGAATTTCTTGCTGAGTAGATGGACTGTGAATATATTCTGAATAATAAAAACAATGGATATAATTAAATGTTGCCTGGCACGGGAAGGATTCAGAGCATGTCACTTGGAACCCCCTCGTGCCATGTTCTTCTCTAGGCATCTGGATATATGGTTGCAGCAACTGAATAAAAATAATTCAGATTTGATCAGTATTGGCAGCATCTATAGGGACATGTTTTAGTGCACTGATGTGTATGAAATTAGGTTCTTAAATAAAACATTGTTCCTGGGTATTTATTTTCATTTCAAAGGATAAGCTGAAATTGGCAAACAGTGTGAACTAGACTGACTTTTCCCACTGAGATTTACTGATAGGCAAACTGTTGTGAACATTGTGGACACTGGTTGAGGGTAGGCTCACTAGTTCCGGTTCTATTAATGGTCAGCTGCCTGTAGAACTTGTGAAGCAAGACAAGACATAACAATAGCAAGTTCAAGGTTCAGATAATCATTATCCTCTCTTAAGAAAAAGGTTTGAGTAGTTG